CAAACCAGTTACCTTCTTGCTGTGAGATGACAACGCTACCCACTGCGCCACCGCAACGCCCCGTCAACTAATTCTTATTTGAGTGTTAGACTGTCTGTTGACACTGCTGCTTCAACAGATATTTAACTGACTATAAGAAACTTTGCATGTACATGTAACCTAACAGTAACAGTCTTCTAATGATAATTAACTTAAATTCAACAAAATGCATTAAAGTGACCATCAAAATAAACTGATACCTTTCCGTGTCCCTAACATTTGATAGAAATGAATGAGAGGAGAATAAATAAATAACATAAAAGTGTTGTGACTACACTTTTTCTCTTTTAGGTAAGTTTGGATTATCAGATTTGTTTCGGTTATGGTTAATATATGAGAGAGATATTTTTGGAGAAATTGTTATAACTTTTCTTGAAAGTTAAATTTACATACAATAAGATTATTATGCCTCTGAAAAAGCTCAGATGATGGTGTCAAGGTTTTGGAAGTTTCTGATTGGCTAATTGGCAACATTTGAGTTAATTGGAGCTTCCTTTAGTGACAACATGGGAAAATCAACAAGCCAGAATCAACAAAAAAGGCAGATCATAATTTGCTAAATTACTCTGGGAAAGAATCATTTTTGGAGACATGTCCTGTGGTCTGATGGAACTAAGATTGAACTGGTTGGCCATAATGACCAGTGTTACATTTGGAGGACAAAGGGGAAAGCTTACAAGCCAAGGAACACCATCCCAACTGTGAAGCATAGGGGGTGGCAGCATCATGTTGTGGGGCTGTTTTGCTGCAGGAGGGACTGGTCCACTTCACAGCATAGATGGCATCATGAAGAAAAAACATTTTGTAGAAATACTGAAGCAACACCTCAAGACATCAGCCAGGAAATTAAAACTTGACCACAAATAGTTTTTCCAAACAGACCATGACCCTAAGCAAACTGCCAAATTAGTTAAAATGGGCTTTAAGGACAACAAAGTGAATGTTTTGGATTGGCCATCACAAAGCCCTGATCTCAATCCTATAGAAAATTTGTGGGCAGAGTTGAAAAAGCTTGTGCGAGCAAGACAGCCTACAAATCTGACTCAGTTACACCAATTCTGTCAGGACGAATTCTCTATTCTGAGAAGCTTGTGGAAGGATACTCAAAACATTTGACCAAAGTTCTACAGTTTAAAAGCAAAGCTAAAATATACCAAGGAAATGTATGTAAACTTTTGACTGTCTAGAAATTAATAAAAGTTCTCAAAAAAAATCTCTCATTATTCTGGCATTTAGTAAATAATTTAGGTAATCTTAACAGACCTAAAATAGTAAACGTTTAGTATGATTTACCATCAGATATATAAAAAATGAATGTTCTAAAAGTGGAAAGTAAACTTTAGGTTTCAACTATATTAAATTACTGAAATGGCAAATAATAGTTTCATGCAAATGTTTATTTGACATAGAAGAGTAAACACACAAAAAATGATGAAAATTAGACTTAATTGTTTCATAATAAGAAGCTGTAATATACTGGCAGTCAAAATGCTCCTATATACACATCATACAACATTATTTTTAGTGATTAATTGACATAATTTGTTTTATTATTCAAAAATGCTTTATTAAAGTTTTTGAAAAATATCGCCCATATGTTCCTACACAATGGATTGAGTTTTATTGACCCTATCCAAATATTGCCACAGAAATAGAGGCTCTTCAGACCAGATAACTTTTCCCAATCTTTTGTTGACTAATTTGTGAATTGTAACTTCAGGATATATCAAGAATATACAGATGATTGAAATACTAACGTACAGTACAGAGAAACTAACAAAATGCATTGCATTGCAGTAAGAGTACTTTTTCATTGTATGAGCATACAAGCACCATTGCGTAAAAGCCATTCTCACTAATCCTGAGCATTATCAAACATGAGTGAAAAACCAACCCAGCCCCCCAAACCAGCCGACATGAAACTAAAGGTGAGAAGATAAAGAGGGGGAGAAGTACATTAGCATGTCCTCCTAAAGGTGTGTCTAAACAATAGTACACAGATTGGTCTCTATTGGGTTTGCCACTATTTGAGGTCAGAAAATGTCAAAGGAGACCAAACATGACAATTTTATGTGTATATAAATTGTGTTTGGTGAAAAGCACATGGTAAAAGTGAGGCAAATGGCACAGAAGTGAGGAAAGAAGGAACCACCATGTGCTTGGAATGTGCCAGTGCTTAATTAGCATAAGTGTCACAAAACTTACACAAGTATTTACTCAGTCTTGCAATGTATTTTATGCGAAAATGACTGAAAGTCCATTTAATTCAACTGTAAAATGTAAGGTTTTGGTTATTTCCAGGCTGGTTTTCAGCTATTTCCAGCCATTTCCAGCCTGGTCTTATGGTCAGGTGACAAGCTAAAACCAGCTTGACCAGGCTAGCCAGGCTGGGAGCCCAGCCAAAACCAGCTATGTCCAGCTTAAACCAGGCTGGTCAAGCTGGTTTTAGCTGAATTTAGCTGGTCATTTTCCAGCCTGACCAGCTAAGACCAGCCTGGAAATGGCTGGAAACCAGCCTGGAAATGGTCAACCAGCTAAATCCAGCCAACCAGCCTTGAGTGGATGCCCCCTTGGTCGATGTTTAAGGTCAATAAGATGTTCTAGAAATCGTTATACATTTACTTTTGTGCCTGAAGCAATTAGGTTACGTAATAAATGTAGTTAATCGATGGATTGTTATTCGTTTTTGTGTTTTGTTTTTTTTTGTACCTGATGTTAAGTGTTGATGTTAGTGTGTCATTCTTGTTATATGTGAAGCACCACCATTTTGAAATATATTGCCCCAAGGGGATTAATAAAGTTTAAAAAACAGAACTAAATTAAATTAAATTAAACACATTAAAATGATGAAAGTCAATTACTGGTTACCGGCTTCCAACATTCTTCATAATATCTCTTTTTTTGTTCAACATAAAAAAGTTAGTTTCAAGGTTTAGACTTGGGAGTGGCCAGTTTTATTTATTTACTGAGTCCACTATAACAAAATTTGATGTGAAATATTCATGTAGGCCTATATGTTATTTTCACAGTTGTGTTATAAACATGTTATAGAGCTTATGGGCAATTCCTCAACAAGCACTTTTAGCCTTGTGAAGTTGAGTAAAAACAATTTGTTCAAAATTACCATAACATAGCCTCATAAGTTTAAACAATTTGTCTAGTTTTAAGATCTGTAAGAACACAAACTTAGATAAGAAGAGAAATTGTTAATCTTTAACACTTTTTCAAATCCACCACATCTTAATATACAGCTTTTAATTCAAAATGAAATAAATTATGGCAGTCAAACATTGTCTAAGATGATTTTTGTATTTAGTTTACCCAATCTTTCCGCAATATATATAATAATTATACGTTTTTAAATTAAATAAATTAGTTGTATGCTGAATTGTACACCTGTCACACTCTAAAGCTTAATATTAATTTAGTTAAGAGCTTATTAGAAAATAAATAAACCGAATTTGTATATTAAATAGAGCATGAACTTATACATTGTGAATACCCTTTAAATGTGGGATAAAAACTTTTTAAATATTTTTGTTTTTAAATATTGAATGTGGTGGAAATGACATAAAACAGTTTATTGTGAAAAAGTGAAAAATAGCTTCACCAATTAGCTTTGAATTGAGCCTTTCATTTACACAAAACACTCTTATTTATCTTAATTTTGTTTGGTTTTTAAAAACATTTTTGAAATTACAACATGTTTGGAAATGATGTAGAATAAATGTATTTCCTTATCAAGCAATATTTATCTTGATTTTTCTTCATGTGTTGTTGATGAAAATGTAAATTCCCTCCATCTTGAACATGTTCTCAGATGTCACTATTCATTTTCATAGAAACCACCTCAATAATCTTTCACACAAACTTTTTCAAGCGACAAATCAGTGTTGTGGTGGAAATTACACTGATACTATGCGACAGCTATTTTATATTTTATTTTATATTAAAAAATAATATTGATAATAGCCTCACATTAATAACTATAAAATATTTAAATTATTTGACTAGTGCTTCATTAAGATACATTAATATATACCAGATGAATAATATTTTAAGATGTTATTTTCATTGTTGAAGTTTAAAACTCTGAGTGTGTGACAAGGTGAAAACAGTGATTTTGACAACTAAAAGGAGGTTGAATAATATGAAAAATGTAATAGAAAGTAGTAATTTTTTTAAAAGTAGGTTTTATTGTTAGTTTGACAAAAAAGGAGAAATTTGAACAAAATTATATATATTTTTGGATCTGTAATCAAAGGACGGCAACGCAGTTGCGCAGTAGGTGCTGTCGTCTCACAGCAGGAAGGTTGCAGATTCGAGCCTCGGCTGGGTCAGTTGGCGTTTCTGTGTGGAGTTTGCATGTTCTCCCTGCGTTTGTGTGGGTTTCCTACGGGTGCTCCGGTTTTCCCCCTTAGTCCAAAGACATGTGGTACAGGTGAATTGGGTAATCTAAATTGTCCGCATAGTGTATGAGTGTGTGTGGGTGTTTCCCAGAGATGGGTTGGAGCTGGAAGGCCATGCACTGCGTAAAACATGTGCTCGATAAGTTGTCGGTTCATTCCTCTGTGTCGACCTCAGATTAATAAAGGGACATAAAAGTGCCCGTATAGTTAAAGAATTACCCTTATATTTTAGCAGAGCTACACAAATTATTCGTATATTCGATAAATAAGCACTCATGATTATGTAAACAGAGAGAGAGAGAGAGAGAGAGAGAGAGAGAGAGAGTGAGGGATCGCACCTTTCTAATTAACGTAATCACTTTCAATTGATTTATCTATTCATTAACTTTGTCCGTCAGTACAGGGGAAAGCGAGAGGCCTGCGCATGCGCGTTCCATTACACTTCCGGGTTTGCTTTTTTTTCCCCATTGAAATGTAACGTTTCTCTTGTGATGCGCGTATGAAACTTGTTGCCGGAAAGCAAACAAAAGGTGCTCTGATACATTCAATTGTATAAAGGCAGCAGTCAGAGCGGCGGCGAGTAGCTACTGTCATGCTCGGTCTACAGGACTCTCGTTAGACTCACTGTAATGGCCTGATGTTGCGCTGTTGTGCCTTGTGAGCGGCCGGACTGACAGCAGCATGACCCGCCTGATGTTTCTCGCGGCCGCGGCGTTCCTCTTGTCCGCTCTGGCCAGCGCCTCTCAGGGGGACAAAGAGCCGGTCTACCGGGACTGCGTCAAACACTGCGTCCGGACAAACTGCACAGGGGCCCGGCTGCGCGGTTTCCAGTCCACTCAGCCTCCATACATGGCACTCACAGGTAGTGGAACCTATTTTTATAAGCAACAGCACTGTCTGAGTGTCTGCTAACTGAACTATTTCTCACAAAGGTTAATAGAAAATGTTATGATATCCTTAAACAGTGTAGACATTGCCGTATTTTGTTTTTCAGTCTAAATTGTTAACCCTTTTGTAAATTTCTTTTTCAAATATTTGCCAAATGATGTTAAACAGAGTAAGGAATTTTTCTCAGCATTTCCTGTTTTTTTCTTCTTCTGGAAATAGTCTTATTTGTTTTATTTTGGCTAAAATAAAAAGAGTTTTTACTTTAAAAAAATATTTTAGGTCAATATTATTTGTGCCCTTAAGCTATATTTTTTCGATTGTTTACAGAACAAACTATCTTTATACAATGATTTGCCCAATTCCCCTAACTTGCCTAATTAACCTAGTTAAGCCTTTAAATGTCACATAAGCTGTAGAGAAGTGTCTTGAAAAAGGTCCAGTCAAATATTATTTACTGTCATCATGGCAAAGATAAAATAAATCAGTTATTAGAGATGACTTATTAAATCTATTATGTTTAAAAATGTGCTGAAAAAATCTGCTCTCCGTTAAACAGAAATTAGGGAAAAAATAAATAGGGGGGCTAATAATTCAAGGGGCTAATAATTCAGGGGGGCTAATAATTCAAGGGGGCTAATAATTCAAGGGGGCTAATAATTCAGGGGGGCTAATAATTCAGGGGGGCTAATAATTCAGGGGGCTAATAATTCTGACTTTAACTGTATGTGTAAGATTTTTTTAAATTTATTTTTTCTCTAGTTTGTAAGGACAACAGTATCTCCATCAGCAAAGATATCCAAATATGCTGTCTTAAATTGTGAAGAAATCCAAAGACGAAAGAAGTCAATGATTTATTTAAATTATTTAGCCTGATGAGGTAACTGCTCCAAAATTGTTTAAATGTTTCTCAAAATAAAATATATATTGTGTTCAATGGGGAGGAAAGTTTCTGTCTTATACCCAGATATTTTAAAATAACTTATTTTAGAGCATTACAATGCTGTGAAACCGTAATATTTTTATCCAAGCTTATCACACCGCCAGAATCTTAAACCGGCCCATGCCATCGTTTTTTTCAAGAATTCACTATTTCAGAATATTTGGGTTGATTTTATAGTAGAGTCCATCTGAATAAAAGATTAAAATTTACGTTAAACCAGATTTTTAGGGGGGAAAACATACAAATGAGAGATTTAAAAAAATAAATATTTGTCAAGATAAATGGCAGTACACAGACACAAATATTTAAAACATTAATGTAAAATGACAGTCTTCACTGTTAAAATGTAACTGAATTAGTCTTTGTTAAAGCAACAAATTATATTGTTTAATGTGCCTGAATGCTTTAAACTCTAGTGATATGTTTAACAGAAGAAAAACTAAAGAAATACTTTCAATAAACTTTAAAATCACAATAGTTAAACTTTGTCATTAAGCTACAGGCTCCTGGTCAACAATACTTGCAGATACAGTGATTTAATTCAGGCCTGTAGCCAGCCTGGTTCTTTTTTCTCAAAAAGTTGACCATTTTCAGTTATTCGTCTCGTTTTCTATTCAATTATGAGATTTAAATACTACATTTAATACTACATTATACATAGTGACATTTTGATAACTATTTTCTGTAGCTGAATCAGCTTGTTGGGTGGTCATCATAATCACAATTTTTGATGTGGCAAAAATATTCCCTAAATATTTAGAATAAAGACATTTTAAAATACAAACTAATTACACCATAATTATTAGGGAAATAAACAGGAATCTTAAATGAACAGGGATTTTAAATAAAAAAGCTGTAGCCTATTTTAATTTATTAGGAAAATAACAAACTGGCCAGCACATTCAACTTTCCTCAGTCAGAATTTGGCCATTACAATAAAAAATAACTAAAAGATTTAGAATAAAAGTTACTAAAATGTTTTCTCTATTTAAAAACAATACAGTGGCGAAAGAAGACTTCTCTTACGTCAGATTGTATGTTTTCTTGCAACTGGCCAAAACGAATTAGCTGAAGTCACCCTGAAGTGACAGCCAACAGAGGATTCTGCTTGGTCGTAAATTCTGGACCTTTGTTAGTGAGGGGTGGGTCTTTGGAACCACCCGAACACCCCCTGGCTACAGGCTTGAAGGTATACTATATGTAGAGATATGCAGAAGGACTTTTAATGTTGCAGTAAGCTGGGTCAAACGCTGCCTGTAAATTGTATGCTGTTAAAGGTCTGTTTTCTTTAAAAATCATCGATCTCCAGTGCCTGATTGATATACGATATAAAGTGGGCTCTTAGATTGTACAAGAAGCACTGCATTCAATTCAGTTTTCCCGCACCATGTCATTAAATATGAAAACTACTAAATACAACTTTACACAGAAAAAAAGATTATGGGCACATTTTAAGGGGTTTTGGAAACGTTTGGAGACCAGCCAAATCAGTTAAATACCAGCATGCAGGGGGACCAGTTCAACTAGACTGGACCAGCCAGTCAGCTTGTGCTGTTTTTTAAACAAACATACATTTATTTTTCTGTTTGTTCGTTCTGTTTCCTTTTGAGCTATAAAAAAAGACCATGTATAAATGACCATGCTTTTCTTAAAGAGTATAGTTCACACAAAAATGAGTAATTGCTTTTAGTGATTTAGGATGTAGGTGACTTTGGTGTCTTTAGAAGAAAAATAAAAAATATTTTAGGCTAAATCAGTGGTCCATGATGGTTTCATTAAAAAACAACAACCAAAACTCACAGTACCTTCAAAATAGTCCAAATAATTGCATAAACAACAACAAAAAATAAATGAAAATTAAAATAATGAAATGACTAAAGAAAAGTCTGTCTTTTTTTGAGGACAGAGTAGTATTACAGCATGTTGCCAACATAATAATATTGAGCTTAAAATATGCGTAATGTAAAATCTGCTTTTTTCCCTAAGCAAACCAAAACAAATAAGACTTTCTCGAGAAGAAAAAATATCATAGGAAATACTGTGAAAATGTCCTTGCTCTGTTAAACATCACTTGGCAAAAGAATACAAATTTGACAGGGGAGCGAATAATATTTGCCCACAACTGTATTCATGAAATCTTATTTTTAGATCAAAACATTTCTTTTTTTTTATTATTATTTATTATTATTATTATATATATTATTACCATGTTATTATTATATATATTATTATATACCATGTATATATATATTATATATATTATTAGAATATGCAAATAGTACACAAAATGGGATCAGATGCAAAGAGAACAAAACAACATTAAAATACGAGTGTGTGTGTATGTAAAGGTAACTAGGTGTATAATCTGAGTACATCCATATAATACATACATATATATATATATATATATATATATATATATATATATATATATATACACACACACACACACACACACACACACACACATAAATAACATTTATAACCATCATTAAATGCATATATATATATATATATATATATATATACACTGTTAGACATTTCAAAGGGTTTTTACAGTAACTTACTGGCAACACTGTTGCCAGTAAGTTACTGTATTTTAGATTTACAGTATACAACTGTAAATCCGTTTACAGCATGTTACCGTAGTGTCTGAAAATGGTTAACTACTGTAAAAACCTAAGTTAACAGTTAGCTACTGTAAACCTTTTAATTTTGTCCTAAATATTTTATAATATAATTTTATTAATATTATTTTAATACTATAGACCTAAAAAGACACAATTACAAAATATTAACAAAATAAACACTCTTTATTTAAAACATTGGAGATGCTTAACCCAAGCTTAAAAATGTGTAAAAACATTACATTTCAATCATTCAAAATATTTAATTTTAAGAAAAAAAACATTGAAAATGACAAAGCACATTAACATACATGTACAAAACTAATTTAAGTGTCTGACCTGCATATTGTTGAGAAAAAAAACCCCAATTGTACTAAGTACTACTGACATTAAACCAGACACAATTACAAAATATTCCATTCTTTAAAACATTAATAATGCTTAAAGCATTTAAGGAAAATGTGTGAAAATTACATTAAGCAATAAAATCAACACATTAAAAATAAATCAATCACACAAAGCACTAGAACATACATGTACAATAAAAATTTAAACTTCTGAATTGCATATTGTTGGAAAAATAAATATTTGTAACTATTAGCCGACTCAGAAACAACCCAACTTTAAAATATTACTAGTTCTGGTGTCAAATGCTCAACAAGGTCTGAATTCACATGTTCAAATGCAATTCATCTTTATTTCTATTCCACTTTTACGATGTAGATCAATGATGTCAAAGCAGCTTAACATAGAAGTTCTTGTAAATTGAAGCTGCTTCAGTCCAGTTTTCAGAATTGAAGCAGTAAATGTCACTGCTGAAAGTCCAAACACTGAAGAGCAAATCCACCGATCCACCAATCGTAGCCAAGCGATCCAGTGGCGACAGTGGCATGGAACAAACTTCACCAACTGACAAAAGTGTAGAATAAAATCCCTTGAGAGATACCAGGCTCAGTTGGGCACGACCAGTTCTCCTCTAGCCAAACTTGTGCAAGGCCGCAGTCTAGGCACCGGAGGCTTGAAAGTTCACCAGCGGGTGGTCAGGCTGGCCCATTGGATCAATGCGGAAACTCATTGATCACGTGTGTCTTTTAGGATTCACTCCTCCATGACCACCACAGCATCTGGTCAGGATTTGGCCCAGTCCCGGATTATGAAGAACTCTGGATAAGGAGAAACAGACTAACATAAGCATAGAAGAAGCTTGTTTAAAAAAAATAAATCATATACTGGTTAATTATTTTGAAGCATGGCAGCTAGGTTGGGCTAGTTTTCAGCTGGTACTGAGCAACTGGCTCCTGCTCATAACCTGCTCACTACCATGTTTAAAAGATAACTAACCAGAATGTCCTGTTTATTTTTTTCCTAACAAGGTTTTACAAAAACATTGTAGCATTTGTGATGGGTTGATTCACTGCAGGACAGATTAGACTATTTGTTTTATGTATTCCTAATAAACTAAAACTGACTGAATACTGATACAACTATTGAGAGTGTCTCACCTAATCCAAGTTCTCAGTTAGCTGGTGAAAGAAGGATAACTCACTGTTGTTCATGGTTGTCATTCTCTTCACTACTTCTCCTGCTATCTTCTGGCTCACTCTGGTTGTTGCTGTGCATTTTGTTTCATCCTCTGGAATTATTTATACAAAAATTTGTATTATTTTATTTATTACAAAATATTTAGGCAACATGAAATGGGGAAAAAGACATTTAATACATAGACAAATGCATGTATCCCAATACTAATTATTGTATTTTGAAATGTCTGACCCATGACAGACCTTAATCTGCTCAAAAATATTATAAACAAAGATGAAAAAAACCCTACTAAATAGTTTAATAAAAAAGGGAAAAATATTTTTTTTATTTAGCTAGCAACTAAACATGTGACACATTTGGTATTAAAAGTAACGTTACTATATTGAGAAACAAATAGATGTACAGTACTTACTGTTGTATGAGGTCCAGTTTGCACAGGCAGGCTCCCAGTATTCTATATTGAGACCACAAAAAAGCCAAAAATACAGATAAGAATACCATGCTACAATCCACAACCTCCACACAACTTTTTTTTTTATTTGTTTACCTTGGTTGCTTACTGGTCTTGCTTATTTTTTAAGCATAAGGCTGTGCTGATCAAGATGTTCCTCCGAAATGCTGTTTGTTTCTTCAGACAAAACCTGCTGCTGTGCCAGTGCCATATCTAAACAGAAAAAATATATAATGGTAACAATTATGTTAAACCAAATGTCAAGAGTTGTGATAAAAAATAATTAGCAAACAATAAATAGCAAAAATGTGGTTATTAGCATAATGCATAGAGGTAAAATTGGTTTTATATTAGCAGATTCAGACTTCCCCCTTAATAATTTAATTTCATAAAAGTATTATTTGTAAACTCTAAATAGCGAAATCATTTTAGCAGCTAATGACTATCAAAGTACAACATGCTCACGGTCAAATAAACAGTGTTAATGTTGATTTCAAGTCATACTGGCATGCTAATTCTGATCGAATATTCAAAGTAACATGGTAAACAGTATAGAGTCTTCTAAATGAACGAATGTGCGAATATAAAACCAACTTTACCTCTATGCATATTGTATAGATTTACGTTAACCTTCTTATAGGTTACGTCGCGATGTTATTTTCTCAAGCTAACGTTATAAGTTACTCTAAACCAGAGAAAAATAAGTTCACAACGTCTAATATATATAGTATTAATCAATATAAGTTAAACGTTGCACGTTAAAATGAGTTTGAGTCCAATTCAGTATAAACTTAGCTCAGTTTAGCTAACAGTTAACATTACCATTTTAAGATCGCTTCAGCCAATGTTGCTGAGCAAACAAATGCTAATAGAGGTGCTCAAATCAATGTCGAGTGTTGTCAGCACAGACAGACGCGCTTTTACCTGGATTATTTGATGGTCTTTCATTCATATTCTTCTGGGGGAAAACACTCTCTGCCGGACCGTTGTCTCGTTCTAAGTGTCCTCCAAAACTGTCTGCATACCTCTGGTTCCCTCCTAAACCAAAACCCGCTGCAACACCGGTTCCTATGTAAATAAATAAAAAGATATGACGAGAACAATGGCTAATAGTCATAAACAGTCTTATTTAAAGTAATAGTAGTGTATAATGTAATAAATTAAATAAAGGTAACATCTTAATAGATGATATATTTCTCAAATGGGCGAAATAACGCCAAGCCAGAGAAAATAATAATAGCCAACTTTATACTTTACTTTGTTCTATTCTCGTCCACAAAACATTCTGTAAAATGAAACACTGCCTCAGCTTACCAGAGTAAAGTTTGTTAAATCCAGTATGTTCTTCAGGCACACTAATAAATTGTCCTCCAGAATTGCTCCAGGGTCCTCAGGCAAAATGTGGTGCAGAGTAGTCGAATCGCCGCAAGGTGGCGTTGAAGCAGTTGTGGAAAATACAGTATAATACACAAATTTTTACAAATACAGTACATCGCTGTATATGTTGTTCGACGTCACACTAAATTCCCATAATGCAACGGTAAATACAGTTATTTACCGTAAAAGAAATTTGCAGTATTACACTGGGTGAAATACAGTAAATAACTGTGTAATTTACAGAAATGTCTAACAGTATATATATATATATATATATATATATATATATATATATATATATATATATATATATATATATATATATATATATATATAATAGATACAGAAAAATAAATAAATCAATCAGTGGTAACGAGTGACAACAATGATAGTAATGTAATGATGGTAATGATGAAAAGAACTACAACTGTCAACAACAGTAATAATGTTAATAATAATAATAATAATTATTATCACAGGTACTACGCCAACTACTACTACAGAAAATTACTAATGTTACTACTACTAATGCTGCTACTATAGCCACACCGGCGACTACTACAATGTCTACTACTACTACTACTACTACTACTACTACTACTGCTACTACTACTACTACAGCGTCTACTACAACTGATACTGCTACAACAACGACTATTACTATAGATATTACTACAGCATCTACTACAACTGATACTACTACAACGACTACTACTATTGATACTACTATAACGACTACTACTATTGATACTACTAAGAGACCAGTAGTAGACACCAGAGCAAAACATTTCTAAAAATGACTATTGATCATAAATAATGTAACATAATAAACTATAATTAAGCGAAGTGTGTTCAGTCAGTTTTTAGATTAATTGTGTGTGTGATATATAATGTAAGTAACACATACAATAGCAGAACATAATATAAAAACATTTAAATTAGATTTAAATAATGTTTTACATGTACGAATTGTCTAAATTATCAGTCTGAATTTTTATTTTTCTGCTGCCTTTCCTGTGCATTGAATCAAGTGTGTGATCTTTCAGGCTGGACGTGTCGTGATGACTGCAGATATCAGTGCATGTGGACCACTGTGGGTCTTTACCAGGCTGAAGGCTACAGCATACCACAGTTTCACGGGAAGGTTAGCGGCACAACTGTTTCAGTGTAAAAGCAGATTTAAACTTTCAGCAGTATCAAACTCTAACATAAATGAATTCTTTTAACTCTCTGTTCTTGTGACTTAGTGGCCGTTTGCCCGTTTCCTATGTTTTGAAGAACCTGCATCGGCACTGGCATCTCTGCTAAATGGTTTAGCATGTCTGCTAATGCTGCTGAGGTACCGCAGCGCAGTCCCTCGCCAGAGCCCCATGTACCACACCATCACCGCCTTCTCACTGGTGAGAAAGTCTCTTAACTGTCATTTAAAAAAACTGCAACTGAATAACTTCCTTGACATTTTGTTTTCGCTTGTGATTCCTGAATTTCTGCATTCTTGTTTTGAGTTAGAAGGAACAACTTATGAAAATACACAGTTTCCTGCAGCATTATTCATGCTAAATGAGTGCATTGTGCCACACAGTACTAGTTAAACTGACAATCAGAATTATTGGTTACTATTGGCACCTGTTGTGCCGGGAGGTGTAAAAATGCATCACATGTTATTTATTATATTGTTTTATTTTTTATCATTCAATAATTTCTTATTTAATATGACATTAGTTTATGGCTGTAAATATAAACTGCTGCTAAAGAAATTGTATATATCATTACGTTAGATTCATGAAATCCTTAAAAATGTACAACTAGCTCATTTTCTCCATTTGGAAAACCTTGGATGGGGATATTTTTCCCTTTCAGATCCTGTGAAATCTGTGGTAATTGAGGACTATAGTTGAGGGATTTGAAAGAGTTTAGAAAAGACATTATATTTCATGAGAATTTCCTTGTTACAGTTCATTTGTTTGCATTTCGCATAAGCAAAATATTCAGAATATTAACTCATATGCTTTTTTTATATTACATTTGGTAAATACTTTTAAAGCTGCTATGGATGCATTGATTCAATAGGTTTAGTTGTTCTCTGATATTTACGTTGCAGGCATGTGGCTTAGTTGATTGCCAAAATGATCCAGAAACATGTGTAGGCTCATTTATAACCACAGGAATTACCCAAGAATGGAAAGCTCTGTTTTGACCATATTTGGAACTGTTGTGAATTTTAATGAGCTCTGCTCACACACACACACACACACACACACACACACACACACACACACACACACACACACACACACACACACACACACACACACACACACACACACACACACACACACACACACTTGTTTGTTTTTGTGAAAAGTGGGGACATTACATAGGTTTCCATTCATTTTATACTGTCCAAACCATAAATTTTTAATGCCCTCACTCCAACCCACCTCTAAACCCAACCATGGAGACTGTGTGCAGCTTTACTCTCTGATTAAACTCATTCTGTAGGATTTATAAGCATTTTAAGAAATGTGGACATCACCAATGTCCTCATATTTCACCTCCTTTTTGTAATACCTGTGTCATACCCATGTCATTATACAGATTTGTGTCCTGATATGTCACAAAAACACGTACACAAACACACACACACACACACACACACACACACACACACACACACACACACACACACACACACACACACACACACTAGGCATGGGCCTGTATAAGATTCTGACGGTATGATAACCTTGGATAAAAAGGTTTTGTCTTGGTTAAAAACAACAACTTTTTTTTCTGCTTTAAACACAATGTATTGTATTTTGAGAAACTTATAAAATATTTTGGGACAGTATCTAAACATGTCAAGCTAAATAATTTCAATCAATCACTGACTTCTGTTGTCTTCATTTGTTTCAAAAACACAGATTTTTTTACTATTTAAAATGGCATCTTTGGATATTTTCTGCTGGTGATACTGTTGTCCTAAAAACAAAACAAAACAATAAAAAATAATTAAATAAACAATAAAAAATCTTATACATACCATAGGAACAACATAGCAGAAAATTTTGGAGGTTTTAAAACCTTTTCCAAACCGCAGTATACCTTAAAACGGTTATCGTCCCATGCCTAATGCTGCAATCATACACGACGTGGAAGAAGTGTCAAGCGCGAGTTATTTGCATGTTAAGTCAATGCAAAGACGTGAATAGACATCCTGTGGCGCAATATGCATGAATGAAGCAGTGCAAGTTGAGCTCAACTTGCACGATTAACGCGCCTTATGCGTGTTTCGTGCAAATCGCTCAAGTTGGAAAATCTGAACTTCAGCGGACATTCGCGCTGCATTAACCAATCAGGAGCTTTTTCTTGTCCATGACACGAATCCGCACCTATTTCTCAGTGAATTTGTAGCACGAATAAAGCGGATTTGACTTGTGAATGAAGCGAGTAAACTCCAAATGTTCAGGCGTCTATTTATGAATAGTGCGATTTATTCACGTGTTCAGCGTCTGGTGTGAACACAGCATAACACACACACACATACACACAGTGTACTCTGAGATATACATGTGCAAAATAATCATAGTTAAATTGTCTAAAATATTTTTAAATATTAAGTAGATGCCAGATGATCATTTAAAATGAAGTAGTGGAGAAGGGGTTTGTTTATTTTAGCTAGAATGAGTGAGGTAATTAAATAATGCCTAATTTTCACTGAATGGTATGGTTTGGTACGAGTCACTTTTATCCGGCTAGTGTTTTCCACTGCCAAATGGTACCCTTTTGGTGTGTGGTGTTCGACAGAAAGTTGCAGTCGACATGATTTTCGTTTGAAGTTCACATATTGAATGAGAAGCACTTCTTACTAAACAAATGCTTTATATACATAAATACCTATGTGTAAATAAATGTTAATTACTAACCTTTCTATGAATAGGATTTTGCTATAGCTGCAGATCAATAAAAGTGCAAAATAGCCTACTGTAACATCTGCAGTTATATATATATATATATATATATATATATATATATATATATATATATATATATATATATATATATATAAACATATATAAACATATATGAACACATACAGTCCATCACAGTCTCTGAAATGTTACCAATCACAAATAAAAAAACTCAAAACTTACACACACGTACACTTCATTCGTTATTTCAAATATAAACATGCAGCGTGCACATAAGCTCTCTTGAGGAAGTAAAACTACTCAAGCTTTAGACGGCCTCGTAAACAACAACAGGACACAGCAGGTTGTGTTCTTTTTAGCTTTGTGGCTGTTCATTAAGAAGATGACAAGGTTTGTTAGGAGCTCTGTTCGACCATGGTTTGTTATTATATATATATATACTATTACAGTGTTATGTGTTGGCTGTGTATTTAAAAATGGCGCTTCCTTTGTTTTCATTCTCCTGCTTTGTGCACGCTCTAATGACGTTTGTCTGTATTTAGAGTTGTATTTTGAAACTTTAATGTATACAAAACCGAGACAGATAGTTGTTTTCCTTGAACTCACAGTAAGAGCTAAGTGATATTGCATGATGCATAAACATGCATTAACCACTTATATTTAGCAGATTACATGTGTTTGTTGCCTCATTACAAACATATGTGGTAGATTTCAAAGTATAAATGTTAAACTAACAAAAGATACAAATAAACAGACCTTATGACCTAATTTGATTCCCGTCTCTATGATAAGATGAGTTGCATAAGAGCTCATAATGCAGATTTGGTTTTCAAAATAAGAGTCCCACATACATGGTAAGCATAATACAATCTTAGAAAAACTAATGGGGGAAAAATAAGGAAAATTATATTTGTTGTAATTTATGTAGGAAACATTGTGCTACATTATATAATTCTTAATGTTTAATTCCAGTACATATAAATTATGCCAATGTTTTACAGTAATGGCAATGATATTAATGTTTTACATTGTGGCACAGAGGTTGTTTAAGTGCATTTGTTTAGCTACCAAATTCACAAACACTTTACTTGTGATTCATGCCAGAATTTATCACAGTTAGTCTCTTGCAGTTTTAGATGCAGAAAACAGCTCAAGCAACCTCATGATAGAATGCAGACTGCCTTTATTACACTTTCATTTAAGCAGATGATTGAGAATCAGCTGTTTTCAGATCAGATCATCAGCAGTGCAGCGTGTGTGTCTGCCAGTTTGGAAGATAAAGTAAAACTTTGGGGGGAAAAGCTGTGATTGGGAGATTTAGACTCTTGACATCTGGCAACAGCAAGCATGAAGGCTTTGGAGGCTTGTTATGAATGCAGGATAAAAAAATGTCAAATGAAAAAGACATTTTTATCTCAGCGGGGCCAGTATCACTGACAATTATGCTTAATTTGATGAGACAAGCAGTAATTGTGATTACAGCTAGATTTATCTCGAAGCCGTAGTGGACCAAAGTAAGCCAATAAATATAATGTTTCTGCGTATTGCAGGATTCTCACTGATTGTGTCAAGCCTCTTTATTGAAGCAAATAACATTCACTATGATAATTAGCAAATTAGCACTTTTCTAACTTATAGGATTTGTTGTAACTAGTTGTAAATTACAAACATTTTAAACTCTGTTTTAACGTTCTTGGTGCAAAGTCTGAAGTGCAAAATGCAAAAGCATTAAGGGTGTGTTTGCATCCACTTTTGCTATTTTAAGTACAGAAAAAGTAGGGTTTGCACCCTGGCGTTTGGTCTTCACTAGCGAGGAAGCAGTTTAACAGACCATCTGCAGCGCAAGGGTAAAGAATGAGCCTCCTTCATTCGACCTCTTTACTTTCTCTTTACTTTTACTCTTTACTCCTTTATTTTTTTGTGGATAAGGAAATGTTGTTGTACGCACTCCACTGAAGACATCCATTAGCCTATATATTTAATTTAGTTTGTTAAGTGCAATTATTTTTTTCAAAAGTGTTTCTTAATTCAGTTCTAATTTTCAGCAAAAAAAAATAAATGAACAATAATAATGAAGTGTGGTAAAAAGCTGAGTTAAATTCTTATGCCCCATATGGTGATGCAGACCTCTCCAAAACCCGACAGGTTGACAAATCTTGGACAAAGCTTGTTTTTATTAAAACACATATAAATATGCATATAATAAATAACAGTACTAATAATATAAAAAATATTAAAATGCATATTGTAAATTGTCATAAATAAAATGAAGGTGAAGGAGGCATGCAGGTATTGTTTTTTATATTTATTTAGTAAATAATAGTTTTGTAACATTTTAATTCTTTAATGGTTCATATATGTAAAGATATTTGAGTATTGCTGCAGCATGTGCATTGCATTTCATCTCCTGAGGTGCAAGTAATTTATTATCTATTCGCACAGGTTACGTTTATCAGAAAGTCACGATTTTGTTCTTTTTGACCCATTGGAAGGAAATGTAGCATTATTCGCAAATCTTTTTATGCGATATTATATCTTTCATGCGATATTGAAAATTAAATTAATTTGCATCTTTGGATGGAAAAATAGCTAATGATATTAAGTCACAACACTACAGAAATGCTCCCAACCATTAGGGGACAGTGTTGACAGTGACGCACAGATTACCTCAAGATGCGACAAGAAAATTCTCAACTTAGGTGATTGATTTTAATGTGTGATGGTAATATGTGATTCCTACAATGTCTGAAAACAAACAAATTTTGCTTTGTTTAATTGTTTTTTTTTTTTGCTATCAAAACATCAATAAAAAAAAAAAAAGCAAAATAGACATTTTTAAGTGCTGTTGTAGCCCAAAGTAAATGTATTGTGCTCAACCCTGTATGTGTCTCTTTCTGAAGGTTTCCCTGAATGCATGGTTCTGGTCTACTGTATTCCACACAAGAGACACCTATCTAACAGAGGTAAGCTTTCAAGAGATGCTTTTCAGTAGTTTTGGACTAATTGTACTTTGGATGAACATTAATTACTGTTTCCATCTATATATTTGTATGTACATTTTTGCAAAGTATGAAGCACTTTTTTTGAAGGCCACTATATTAATACTTTAAAGTCCTTGTGTATATACTTTTATTAAGGGTCTACCATGTAAAAACAGCGAGAGGTTTTTCTTTCCGTTTGCTATGCGGTATCAAATCACATTAAAACAAAAGTCGAAAGTTAAAAATTAAACATACGAAATTTGATGAAACTCTGAACGCTGGAGAGCCTGGTAATGCGACATTAATTATTTTATACTGAAACTTGTCTTAAAAAAGTGCTTACTTGGTCTTATCCACATTTCTTTGCATGTTGAACACACCACAGCCACAACATGAAATAAAAAAAACGCAACTGCTTTAATTGCATACATTTTTTAACGCGTTAATTATTTCAAATTAATCGCATCCGTTACCGCACTAATTTTGACAGCACTAGTTATTTTGTGATTTCTGAAAGATATCTGCATAGGTAAAACTATAGTAATATATATTAAACATGTTTTTGAACCACAAAGTAAAGTGTATAGTGTGTACAACTCTTTATTAATGAATGTTACTGAATACTGCAGCATGGTAAACTGTAATAAATACTGTAATGTTAGTGTAAACTGTGGTGCGTTGCAATGCAATAGCATAGAAAACTGAAGCCTGTTGAATAATTTGTTTATTACTAAAGTTTGTTATACAACAGCAATAATTACTATGACAGTTTAATTCAAGTAATTATCTATAGTATGCTTCCAAACACTAAAGTGTTTACTAGAGTATTTTTTCATGTAACGTAATAGCTTATACAGTATCTACCGCCTCAGTGACAGGCAACTAAGTTGGCAGGTAGCTTTCTGCAACTCTCACATGGTCGCCCACTGAAGCTAAGCAGGGCTGCGCCTGGTCAGTACCTGGATGGGAGACCACATGGTAAAGCTAGGTTGCTGCCGAAAGAGGTGTTAGTGAGGCCAGCAGGGGTGGTCTGTTTGAGTCCTAATGCCCCAGTATAATGACGGGGACTCTATACTACTCAGTGAGCGCCGTCTTTCGGATAAGACGTTAAACCGAGGTCCCGACTCTCTGTGGTGCTTAAAAATCCCAGGATGTCCTTCGAAAAGAGTAGGGGTTTAACCCCGGCATCCTGGCCAATTCTGCCCACTGGACTCTGCCCATCATGGCATCCTAACCCTCCCCATATCATAATATAATAATTGGCTTCATCATTCTGTCTCCTCTCCACCAATCAGCTGGTGTGCGGTCTGGCGCAAAATGGCTGCCGTCGCGTCATCCAGGTGGATGCTGCGCACTGGTGGTGATAAGGAGATTCCCCCCCTATGTGTAAAGCACTTTGAGTGCCCAGAAAAGCGCTATATAAATGTAAGAAATTATTATTATTATAAATATATTTTAGTTCAGTAGAAAACTCTGCCTTCTTCATCATATAAGGATCATGTCCAACATAAGTGGTTGTTTTCTATTTACCTCTCCTTTGAAATATGGTATAAATTGCACAAATACAGACTTGTCTCTACATCTCCTATTCAGTTTTTTACTTTCTGCCATCCATCTGAATTTCGCGTGTCACCAGATCCACGTGATCGCAAACAACTTATTGCCTGTTTTTTTTTTTTAAATGGGAGGGTCTACTTTATGCCCCACCCTGTCTTCATGTTTCAGTTGAAATTATGTCAAACACTAAATAAAAACGGCACATTTCATGCTCTTCACAGGATCTTTACTAATAAACCTATAAATGAGTCCATTTTGTCATTTTGTTTTGTAGAAGATGGACTACTTCTGTGCGTCAGCTGTCATTCTCTACTCCATCTACTTGTGCTGTGTCAGGTGTGTGATCTGGATAACATGTAGTACTGTTGAGGATTATGCGGTAATGATGGTGATTTGAGGATTAATGTTTGTGTTTCAGGACGTTGGGCTTGCGCAGACCGGCAATTTCCAGCATGGTGGGAGTTCTGCTCATTCTGGCCTTCACATCTCATGTGTCTTATCTGACCTTTGTCAGTTTTGACTATGGGTACAACATGGCTGCCAACGCCTCTATAGGTGAGGTGTTGTGTAAAGCAGGGTTATCTTAGTAAACTAATGCCGAGTTTAGACTGCATGTAATCGTTTCACAGATGTTTTCACACTGCATGACTGTCTGGGTAGTGTTTTGTCGTTGTTTTGTTTAAATGAAGTTTCACAAACTAATTTCGAAAGGAGCATGTGATATGATTGACTGCAGCTGGCCACTCATCTACACTCATTAGCTAGCCAATCAGATCGATCCAAACTCACTATAAATAACCTAGCTAAGATCTACACCCCTATCTTCGTTTTCCGAAGAAACCCCCCATCCACCCCTTCTCCTCCTTTCCTCTTTTGCCGAGGGGAGCTCTCGAGAACACCTGACCTCGTACTCCCCTCACATGCTTTATGGACCTGGCGGGAGCCCTGGGCTCAACTATCTCCGAGCTCAGGGTTCTCTCCCGGGACAGCATGCCAAACCTGCTAACTTGCTAACAAGTTGTCAAACAGTATCTAAGTGTGAACTCTTGAAACTGCAAGATGGATCGGCAACAGGGGGTTTCACACTGCATGACTTTACAATAGGAAGAATTGCCGACAACTTTGTCCAAACAACGTCTCACAACCACATCGTATATCTTTTGTTATTAAATACATAATGAGAAAGAAACCTTTAATGGGGTAGAAAATTTACATATTTGCTCTCCTGGGTTTGAAGAGAATTCGCAATTTCCCCTCAACTTAATTTCTTCTTTGGCCCAGTTGTGATATAGCTCAAATGACATGTCAAACAGACACGGGTGCTGCTGCCAAATTTCCACTAGTTTTTTTCCTCTTCTTGGGTCCAATTAAACTAAAAATTAAGCATGGGATGATAACCGTTTTCAAGGTATACCGCAGTTTGAAAAAGGCAAGGTTTTAAAACCAAAAAAATTTTCTGTAATACCGTTCCTAAGGTATGTGTAGAATTTTTTATATGTGTTTTTTAGGACAACAGTATCTCGCGCAGAAAAGATATCCAAAGATGGCGTTTAAAATTGTAAAGAGATCTGTGTTTTTGAAGCAAATAAAGACAGCAGAAGTCAATGATTCATTTGAATTATTTAGCCTTACGTGTTTACTGCTCGAAAATATTTTTAATGTTTCTCAAAATAAAATATATATTGTGTTCAAAGTAGGGCTGCTCGATTATGGGGAAAATCATAATCACGATTATTTTGGTCCACTTCACGCTCTCTCATTTACACACATACATGCACGTGCTCGCTCGCTCGGGAGTCGGGAACGATATTGTTAGACTGGCCGCTCCCGTCCAAAAAAAGACCAGTTACTGACTGCTTCAGCACATTATTCGGAAATTTATTCCCGCAAATCTGGTCGGGTCCCGCGGTATAGCCGTAGGAATGCAGACCTCTATTACACAGTAATTTTTGCTAAATATTTAACCAAAATTTGTTCATATACAGTTGAAGTCAGAATTAGTAGCCCCCTAAATTATTTTCCCCTGTTTATTTTTTGCCCCAATTTCTGTTTAACGGAGAATTTTTTAAACACATTTCTAATCATAATAGTTTTAATAACTCATCTCTAATAACTGATTTATTTATCTTTGCCATGATGACAGTAAATAATATTTTATTAGATGTTTTTCTAGACACTTCTATACAGCTTAAAGTGACATTTAAAGGCTTAACTATGTTAATTAGATAAGTTAGGGTAATTAGGCAAGTCATTGTATAATGATGGTTTGTTATCGAAAAAAATAAAGCTTACAAAGGCTAATAATTTTGACCTTAAAATGGTTCATAAAAAATTCAAAACTGCTTTAATGCTAGCAGAAATAAAAGAAAAGGAAAAAAAATATTTATTTTTTAATTTTCTTGCTCTGTTAAACATCATTTGTGAAAAAAAAAAAAAAAATCAAAGGGGGGCTAACAATTCTGACTTCAACTGTATAATTCAATTACTATTTATTATTGCCTGGCATTATTAATAAAAAAAAATACTCAATTTGATTATACAAACAAAAAAGCATAATGAGTGGAAACCAAAAATAATAATATCACAATATAAACATCACAGGCATCAGCGCTAAACCAGCTTCACGATATGGAACAAATCCACTACACTATTAAAAGCCTGACTCACACATTAATGGGCTACATGAAGTGTTTGTTTCTCACCTTCTGATCCTGCTCTTTGATCGTAGGCATAATAAACCTGCTGTGGTGGCTGTGCTGGTGTTGGCTGAACCGGAGGATCTTGCCGTACTGGTGGAAGTGTGGGATGGTGGTGCTCTTACTGCATGGTCTTGCTCTGCTGGAGCTGCTGGATTTCCCTCCACTCTTCTGGGTTCTAGATGCTCATGCTGTCTGGCATCTCAGCACTGTGCCCGTCCACTTCCTCTTCTACAGGTACTCCTTCTCATGTTGGGTCTGCAGCATGGACCTAGATTTTCTTTTGAAATGTTTGGGGACTAGTGGTCGACTGATATATCACCATGGCTTAAATATCGGTTAATCACTAGTCCTGATATATTGCAGCACTGTGCTTGTTCCTCTTCTACAGGTACATTTTCATATTTGCATATTGCATCTGAAGCAAGAGAGTAGATTTGGTTTTGAAATTAATGGGGACTAATGGTCGACCGATATATTGCCGTGGCCAATATATCGGTCGATCTTAGTACCGATACATCTCAGCACTGTGCCCATCCAGTTCCTCTTCTACAAGTACACCTTCATATTTGCATATTGCATCTGCAGCAAAAGAGTAGATTTGCTTTTGAAATTGATGGGGACTAGTGGTCGACCGATATATCGACGTGGCCGATTTATTGGTTGACCATAGTACCGATACATCTCAGCACTGTGCCCATCCACTTTCTCTTCTACAGGTACACCTTTACATTTGTGTATTTAATTTGCAGCAAGAGAGTAGATTTGCTATTTTAATTGATGGGGTCTAGTGGTCGACCGATATATTGCCGTGGCCGATATATCGGTTGACCACTAGTACCGATAAATCTCAGCACCTTGCCCATTAACTTCCTCTTCTACAGGTACACCTTCACATGTGCATGTCTGCAGCAAGGGCGTAGATTTGCATTTGACTTTTATGGGGACATGTGGTAAACCGATATATCAGTCAATTACTCAGCCCAATATATCTCAGCACTGTGCCTATCCATTTACTTTGCAGGTTAATCTGCAGAAAGGGTATAGATTTGCTTTTGAAAATGATGGGGACTAGTGCTTGACCTATATATCGCTGTGGCCGATATATTGGTTGACCTCTAGCATGGATAAATCTCAGCAGTGTGCCCATACACTCTCTCTTCTACAAGTACGCCTTCACACGTGCATGTTGCTTGTGCAGCGAGGACGTAGATTTGATTTCGACATTAGTAAGGACCAGAGGTGTGGACTCGAGTCATGTGACTTGGACTCGAGTCAGACTCGAGTCATGAATTTGATGACTTTAGACTCGACTTGACAAAATATAAAAAGACTTGCAACTCGACTTGGACTTGAACATAAATGACTCGGACTTTGACTAGGACTTGCCCCTATTGACTTGTAAAGACTTGCTGCTTCCCATGAAAAGCCCAACGATAAAAAAGTATGTTGACATGGACCGCTCTCTCTCTCCCCGTTTATGTGTGCGTGTGTGTGACAGCATGCGCGCGCGTGTGTGTGAGCATGCGCGCTTTCGGCATGACGTCCAATCAAAGCACGGTAGATTGTTTTGATTCGACAGTATCCAACGTGACTACTATGAGGCGCCGGAGTGGACAAAAGTCAAGCGAACGCAGAGAGAATTTGAATTTGAACTTGAGATCGAGCCAATACTCGCGTGCCAATACTCGCTCTCTCTCTCTCTCTCTCTCTCTCTCTCACATACAACATACACCTCTCTCTCTCTCTCTCTCGTGCATTCAGTCTCTTTGCGTTCGCTTAACTTTTGTTTACGATGGCGTCTCATACCTTTAGTGCTTTTGCTCTCAGGGGATCCTCCTGTTAAACTGACCCTTCGCTAAGCCACGCCCAAAAACCGCCACCCACCAATCGCGGCTTACCAATCGTAGCTACGGGCAGAGGCTCTGTCAAGCTTTCGAGCGAGGGAAACAAGCCAAATCGTTGCGCAATTGGATTGTGAAAATCTGACACCTGCTATCCTAAAAGTTTGGACTGGGTGGTGGGATTTTTTCCCTTTTCAAAACCAAAGCCCAAGAGGAGAAATGCCAGCGTGGATCAAGCTGTGTGAGGGGCGGTAAGTTAAAGGAGTTAAGCTAAGTTGGTTTTGTTTTCGATATTCACATTCAATGATAGGTGGCAATAACTCACACTCCTCTTATCCTAAACAGATCTAAACTGTTTCTTTTAAAAAACAAAATAAAAAAAACAAAGCAGGTTATGCTTCCCAGCGGTCTTTTTCTTTTTTTCCACTCGATATTATGAGCCAGGGCTCGACAATAAGGACTGCCCGATGGCCCGGGGCCAGCGTGCGAGACACTCTGGCCAGTGTACAAAATGTTACTGGCTCGATCGGGCCAGCTGCTGCCTTTTTGCCTGCCAGATCGAGCCAGAGCTGCGTGCTGCGACTGTCTGTCAATTGTGTGCAAATACAATCTTACGGTGCTTTCACACATAGACGTTTGTTTCGGAATCTGTCTCGTTTCACCCGTTAGCGCGTTTTTTTGGCATATATCCAGCAGTTGCGCTCGCTTCTGCGCCAAATCAATCAGTCCAAGATCGCCTGAATGAGACGCGGTCTCTGTCCTATTGAGCGTATCGATTGTAGCGAGAAAACAAAACAATGCAACGAACTAACAACCCAGGCTATATCACAGTGTATCATGATCGTGTAATAGCCATATATACGGCTATATGAAGAGGGAATGATGAGCAGGGCGAGATGTCATTCTTACCGGTAAATGTGAAAGTGAAAGCATGCTGAAATATTACCGAGAGCTGTTTGTCCAGCCTGATCTCGGTTTATCCGTCAGGAAAATTGACCGAAATTACTATCTGTTAATTTTTCCATATTTTAATCGTATAATAGGCCTATGTTGTATTAGGCCTGTTGTTTTGTTCATTTCCGCACTGACAGCTCGAAAGAAAGATTTACATTGATCTGATGCAGTCTCGGTTCATCTGCTATGTCTCTCTATAATTTAAGCCTAAAATACAGAATTATAGTCAACGTTTCTTTAATAGATTGATTAATTCAATTGATCGATTTCTACAAAACCTGACAATTGAAATGAGGCTCTGTATATATGAGAAAGTCTGACCTCGATTTGTATTTGGTGACGATGTCTGTGGGTTGTTAAAATTAAAGTGCACATTTTCACTTATAAAATATTCTATACACAAACGTTTGGGGTCAGTGTGATTAAATATGTTAAAATAAGCTTCTTCTGCTCACCAGGGCTGCAATTATTTCATCATAAATACAAATTGTGAAATGTTGCACTATAAAATAACTGTTCAAAAGTAGTTTATCATTTAATTTTTTCATTTATTCCAGTGATTTTAAAGATGAGATTTCAGCTTCATTACTCCAGTCACATGATCCTTCAGAAATCACTAATATTAATTATTATTATATTTATTAATGGTAATAGTTATAAAATCAATAATGTCTGGAGTAATTATTTTATTTGAAACTAAATACAATAACAAAGCAGTTATTTAAAATTTTAATAAATATTTAACAATTACACCTTTTTTACATTTATAAATATAGCCTTGATGAACTGAATAGTTTTCCTTAAACATTTTAAAAATTACCGTAAATATATATACAGATTTATTAGCCCCCTTTTGTTTTTTGTTTTTTCTTTTTAAAATATTTCCTAAATGATGTTTAACAAAGCAAAGAAATGTTGATATTTTGTCTGATAATATTTTTTCCTCTGAACAAAATCTTATTTGTTTTATTTTGGCTAGAATAAAAACATTTTTTTAACCATTTTAAGGTAAAATTTATTAGCCTCTTAAGCTAATTGTTTTTCAGACTGTCTACAGAACAAACCATCATTATACAATAACTAGCCTAATTACCCTAACCTGCCTAGTTAACCTAGTTACCCTACTTAAGCCTTTAAATGTCACTTTAAGCTGTATAGAAGTGTCTTGAAGAATATCTAGTAAAATATTATTTACAGTCATCATGACAAAGATAAAATAAATCAGTTATTAGAGATGAGTTATTAAAACTATTATGTTTAGAAATGTGCTGAGAAAATCTGTTCTCTGTTAAATAGAAATTGGGGAAAAAAATAAACAGGGGTGCTAATAATTTAGGGGGACTAATAATTCTGAAATCAACTGTGTGTGTGTGTGTGTGTGTGTGTGTGTGTGTGTGTGTGTGTGTGTGTGTGTGTGTGTGTGTGTGTGTGTGTGTGTGTATATACACACACACACACACACACACACACACACACACACACACACACACACACACATGCACATTCAAATAGCGATTAACTTCTTCTTTTGTTTTTTGGTGGGGCCAGTGAAAATTTGGGCTGGGCAAGTAAAAATCAGAACCACTGGCCCGATCGGGCCAGTAGAAAAAATCCTTAGCGTTGAACCCTGTGAGCACTGCTTAGTTTAAACCCTCGCTATTGTAACGCATATAAATACATACACTAATATTTGTTGGTAGGAAAAATCTATTTGTTCACTTCTGTTATTTATACTTTAATGTGCATTTCAATTTTTTTCTTCCACTTAACTGCAAATTTGAATAAAAACTGGATAAAGAGCACACAAACATGCTGACAGTAATAGGTACTGTACACTGTTATGGGTCAATGATGCTAATATTCGGCACAAATCCATCAGTTTCTTAGGTTATTAGATTATTTTATAATTTCACCTCTCCTGCTGTGCATGAACTATGCTGTTGAATGTTCAGCGTATGAGGTGGCTAGGCTAACCTTGCTTCAATTTTGATAAAATTATTTTCTAATCAGTTGCTATTATGTTGTGAATATACCCCTGTAATGTATACTGCAGTCCTCTTTTGTCTGGCTTTCTCAGATATCTCACCTGTTTGCCAAAAAATGACTAATTAAATCCTTGGGAATGTCTGACACCAGCGCATACACACTGTAATAGATGTGCCAGGCATGAAAGCTTGACAGGCGTAGCAACAGTAACTAAGGAGGGCGAGGCTTAGCGAAGGGTTATTCCAAGAATGTTGATATGGTTTCTTTCTTGCTTTACTATTTATTAACAATACACAAAAAACTAAAAGGTTAAGGTAAATTCTTTAATAAATTCTAGTGTTTTTGAGTATTATACTTGTTGTATACTTGTATTATACTTATGTTTTAGGCTAGTATTATTTATGACTTGTTAATTAATGCTTCATAATACAGTAGTATTACCAATAGTGAACAGATAAAATAATGCAAAGTGTAGTTTTACTACAGTAAAGTGTAGTGATTTGTAGTATAAAATACCCTATATTGTAAAATAATACAGCACTGGGTAATTTGTTTATATTACACTTGTGTTACCATAGCAACTATAGTATTACCACAACTGATCAATTGAAGTTCTTTACTGTAGTAGGCTACTGTTCAAAACACAGTACATGCCAATATACGTGTTCAGGGGCCCTGTGGAACAGCTTTCCTCAAAATGAAGAGGATGACATGGAAAATGTCCTCCACAATCTCATCAGTAAAGTGGAAGCCAGCAGACACTAGTTTACTTTATTTTAGCTGCCATAATAAAATGAGATTGATAGTGAGATTTATTTGAAGAGTGAATAGTACAGTAGGCTATAATACCTTATCAAGTGTTTCCTTATTTTTATCACAGTTACATTTCTGCTTGCATTAGTTTTTGTTTAAATGCTTTTAAAATAAAATGTATTCTTTACATCCAACATCTATTCCAGAGGTGCCTTATAGTGGTGTAAACCCCTTTACAAGGGGTGTTACCCCTGTGTAAACTCTAGCCACCCCTGTGGCCAACCCGATATGATTTTGCTGTTGACATTATTTATTTAAATCTACTTACATAAATGCAATACAATGCAATATATCAATAAATAAATAGCAGCCACTAAATTATTGTGGATTGATTGGTGCCACTGACGTAGCTGGCCTCTTCTGGCCCCCCTTAAGCAAATTTTCAGGGGGGCACCACTGGTCTATTCTCTGTCTTTAAGTGTTTGAAACTGAAAATATCTCATCATATAAAACAACCAAAAATGTTATGGTTTATTAGATTAAACATTTAATATATAAGTCTATTTTAGTATTTTGGTTATTGTTATTAAACAGTGCAGCAATATGAATCATATCAAAAAGCATGAAAGGAAGAGGGAACACGACACAAATTGTGAGTTTGCATATAATCTCTGAGAGCGCTCAAGAAAATTTGTGTGTGAGCAGTGCATATTTGAGAGCGAGAGAAAATTTGCGCGTGAGCAGCGTATATTTGAGAACTCGCAATCAGTTTTGTCCACAAACAGAGGAAATCCGTGCACGAGCATCACACAAGGTAGAGAGCAAAGCTCTTCAACGCTATGTGAAGAAAACAACGTTATTGTTTGTATAAAGTAGCCTACTTCATTAACAATATGTGCTACCATTTTACATTGCTGCTAGACAGATTTGCAACTCCATCTCTTTAGCACACACGAGATTCAATTGACAAAATTCCAATTTCACTCAATTTAACTTTGCAGCATACAGGAGTTGGTCTACTGCTACCACATTGAGGTTATGTAATTTTGGTTAATCACAAGTTGATCACCGAAGACATAACATAGCACAACTAAACTTAATGAATTAGACAGTAGTAGACCTGCAATTTCTGTGTGATGTGAGGCAAAATGGAGTCTTTTTTTGGTGGAACTCGTTCTTGTGCATTATGCTGTGGAGACGAGACGCAGCACTGTTCAGTACTTTTTCAGAAAATTGCATTTGTATTTTTATATATCTAAGCAATGTTCTTTAATAAAAAAAGGTTTGTTTAATTAATACAGATCTTACAACCATACCTAATCTGTATATATTTTATTTTTCTGTTAAAAAGACTCGAAAAGACTCGAAAATCAAACTGCAGGACTTTGGACTTGACTTGAGACTTGTTGCCTTTGACTCGGGACTTGACTCGGGACTTGCCTGTCTTGACTCGGGACTTGACTCGGGACTTGAGGGCAATGAATTGAGACTTACTTGTGACTTGCCAAACAATGACTTGGTCCCACCTCTGGTAAGGACTAGTGGTAAGCCAAAATATTGTCATGGCTGATATATTGGTCGACCACTAGTCCTGATATATCACAGCTTTGTGCCTGTCCATTTCCTCTTTTACAGGTGCACTCTCACACGTGCATGTTAGTCTGCAGCAAGGGCATAGATTTGCTTTTGAGGTTGGTGGGGACTAGTGGTCAACCGATATATAGCCATGGCCGATATTGGTCATTTTTTGCACTTTATACCCACTGTCATATTCATGTCATTTTCACCATGGAAACATGTATTTATTGAATGTAATTCAATTTTTAAATTCAGTTTATTATGGGCTTAATATCAGCAATTGGTCACCCAGCTTTCCATGATATCGACTTTGGCCTTCACAAAAACCCATATCGGTTGACTGCTAATGGGGGCCTATGAATCTAGCCTGAGCCTTCCATATTGTTTAATTATGTTAGTAAAGAGTTAACAGATGTTAGTAACACATTAGATAATGTTAGAATAGTGTACACTTTACAGCTGGGGTGTCCAAACTCGGTCCTGGAGGGCCGGTATCCTGCAAATTTTTGGCTCTAACTTGCCTCAACACACTTGCAAGGATGTTCTAGATAGCCTAGAAAGAGCTTGGTTTGCTTGCCCAGGTGAGTCTGATTGGGGTTGGAACTCAACTTTGCAGGACACCGGCCCTCTAGGACCGAGTTTAAACATGCCTGCTTTACAGTATCGTTCCTAATTCCTTTAACAAATGCTTTGTTATTGACAAACAATGCATATATATTGTGGTTTCGAACTATACTGTAGCAAAAGTGTATTTTACTGTATATACATATTAAAGTGTTCACAAATCTTTGTTAATAATGCTACAGCATACTGTAGTATTAAATGTGAATTGTAATAAATATTGTATGACAATTTTGTTTTTAGTACAGTAAACTGTGGTATATTGTAGTATAATATACCCTATAGGTGTAGTAAACTACAGTATTAGGTAATTAGTTTAGTTTATTATAGTTGCTGTATTACCATAGCAAATATAAAATAACTCTAACATATTAATTCAAGTACTTTACTACATTACAGTTAAAAAACATTACAGCATTTACGATTCTGCATTATTTTTTTACTTGGAAGAAGCTAATTTGTGGTAAAAACTTCAGCTTTCATCTTTTTTATCATCTCAAACACAACCCCAAAAATCCCTCAAATTCAGCTTGTAAAACCAGAGCTAATTAATAATTACAAAGAAACAGCCAGTAACAAAAACAAATTAAACAATTTTGTAGTCATTTAGTAGATGCTTTTGTCCAAAGTGGCTTACAATTCAGGAGGCGTTCAGCGATTCAACAAGAAGAGGCAAAACACAAGAAGTGATAATTATACAAAATAACTGTTTGTGCTCAGAGAATTAAGTTCTATAGAGAGAAGAGTGTTTCTACGGGTGGTTTGTCAAACCACTCACCTGTGTGAAACACTTTATAAATGCAAACTGTTACATTTTTATATAAAAGATCATTTTTATTTACAACTTTTTTTACAATCTGCATTTGTCTTTGCTTTTCTGTTTCTGCAGTTTTCTGATAGACGACAGCCTTCACCTCCTGAACACAGAGAAGCCTGGAGTGAAACTGGACTAGGAGGAATCAGTCTCAGAACCACAACCCCTCCTATGAAATCCTTCCCATCAGGGCAAGTGCAAGCCGGACTGAGCCAGGCCTCATGGCAGTGGTTTTTCCGGCACATGTCCTGGGGTTCCAATTTCACCATTTTCTTGTGTTTACATTTAGTTTTTACCATATTTTAAAACCATATTTTATCATTTTATTTTATTTTTGCTTTGTACTGGTCGTCGTTTGGTCCGGTTTTAAAGATGTGCCACTTTACAATAGTCGAAACCTGATTGATATTTGCATTCACTGAGCTTTGCCTTCGATTGAGAAGAAAATTAGCCTTTCTTAACCACTTTATCAACATGGCACACTTTTAAAGAGGTGCACCGTCATTGCTAACAATTACCTTTGCATATCTCCAATTCATATCCGTCTACATTTGTGCTGTGTGACTTAATAGCCCTGAAGTGAATTTTATTCTGAGATGAGATCAATTTTTACTTTTAAAACATGTGTTTATTATAAGCGTGCTGAACTCAGGAGGGGTTATGAGTGAGCAGTGTGAGCTCTGTTTCTGAGACGCGTGACGGTTTTACTCATTTAGGTGCAATATCAGGAGTGACCAGCAGACGGCGACAGTGTTCATTAGTTTTTTCACTGTTTACAGTTCTCTGATCTCCCAGCACTGACTATGATTGATTAGGCGTTTTGTTGATGTGCATATCAAGTTACCCATCATTTTTATTGTTTACTTTTTAACCATTTTTTATCAACTTTAATCACTGGAGATTTAAAGAAATAGTTCATATAATGACAATGGCCTTAAAGTATTTTTTGTGGAATATGTAACCTGGTGTAACACAATCCTGGGAAAACTGAATCTTATTTTATTCTTCAAAATTGACCTAGGTTTATCTGTTAAAAAGGTATTCTTGGGTACAATACTAATCCATTAGAAGCATTGATTGGACAAACATAACTCATGATATTTTTACATCAAAGCTCTAGCATTGCACATCTTCCTATTATACATACTGAAAAAATTATTTATTAGATTTACTAAAAACTTAAGGTAAGTGGTTGCAAACAATTTATATAGGCTGAATTTAAACAAACAAATAAAGTAACTAAATTACTAAATTTAATTAGTTTGTTTAAATTCAGCCTTAATAAATTGTTTGCAGCCACTTACCTTAACTAAATTAGTAAATCCTTTTTTCAAAGATAAAGTGGTTGCAAACAATTTATATAGGCTGAATTTAAACATACAAATTTAATTTACTAATGTTCAACATTATTATAAAAAAAACAACAAAATAAAAGTTTATTTATTAATTTGATTTACTAATATGATTTACCTATCTCCTTTACAATAACACGTGTTTTAATGGTTTTTAATAACTGGGATGTTGGATAAAATCTGTAGCGTTTAGCCTTGTGTGGGTCTAAAATTTCATTTGTAGTGGTCTTAAAAGTCTTAAATTTGACTTTATGAAACCTGTAGAAACCCTGTATACACTCTCTCTTTCAAGCACACAAACGCTGCAGCCAATTTCTCAAAAAAAAAAAAAAAAAGACTAGAGAGAGAGGAATTTATAATGTGGAATCACATAATCCAGTCAAACCAAAACACTCCAAACACTCACTTCAAAACTAAAAAAAAAAAACTAACCGTGACGAGAACCATGCTGTTTTTTTTTCCAAGAACTATACCATTTCTAGTGTAAATGAAAAAATTGTGCCTTTTTTAGTTACCCATTTTGCAGTGTTACAGTTGAAGTCGGAGTTATTAGCCCCCCTGAGTTATTAGCCCCGTTTATTTTTTCCCTAATTTCTATTTAACTGAGAGAACATTTTTTTCAACACATTTCTAAACATAATAGTTTTAATACCTCAATTCTAATAACTGATTTATTTTATCTTTGCCATGATGACAGTAAATAATATTTGACTAGATCTTTTTCAAGACACTTCTATACAGCTTAAAGCGACATTTAAAGGCTTAACTAGGTTAACTAGGCAGGTTAGGGTAATTAGGCAAGTTATTTTATAACGATGGTTTGTTCTGTAGACTATCGAAAAAAATATATAGCTTGAAGGGGCTAATAATTTTGACCTTAAAATGGCTTTTAAAAAAATTATAAACTGCTTTTTTTTGTAGCCGAAATGAAACAAATAAGACAAAAAGACTTTCTCCAGAAGAAAAAATATTATCAGACATACTGTGAAAATTTCCTTGCTCTGTTTAACATCATTTGGGAAATATTTAAAAAAGAAAAAAATTCAAAGGGGGCTAATTATTCAACTGTATATATCTTGGTTGCTATATTTTTGCTTTACTTAGACAAGAACAGCATGAACATTCTACTAAATGTCTCCCTTTTTGTTCCAATTGGACATTGCTTTGGGTGAACTATTCCTACTTATGGGTTTAAGGAGAGTGGCTAGAATCAGCACCACACATCTTACTTGATCAAGTTTTTACTTTGTATGGACAGGAACAGCATAAACATTCTATTAAACGTCTCCCTTTGTGTTTCGCTGGGACATTGCTTTAGGTGAACTATTCCTTTTTATGGGTTTAAGGAGAGTGGCTAGAATCGAGATCTTGAAAAGACTTTTTCCTTGTAAATCTTCGAAAGGGATTTTATAGCATGATTTTTCTCTGAATTCGCTGCTTTATCTTTCATTTCCATACAGTTTTATATATCCTAGATCACTTTGTGCTTTTTGTTGAAGCTTTTTTATTTTGATTGTTTGATTTTATTTATTGTTTTGATGTGGGACGGGTTGGGGGGGAGGGGTGAATTTGATTTACTTTCACCAAGAATGCCTTTGCAATGAAAATATTACATAGGATTGGTTTTCCACCAGAGTTGATGGAAATGGATAAAAAAATGTAGTGTGTTTGTGAGTGTGTGTGTGTGTGTGTGTGTGTGTGTTAGTTGCTGTGCAATCTGAGCTTGTCATGCATCACATTTACACACATTTATTACTATAGCAACCTGACAGCTTATATTCTTAGCAATGTTATTAAGCTCCTTCTCTTCAGAACACTTGTCACACTATGCCTTACATTTTTAATCTGTTTATTGTTCATACAAGGCAGCACTTCTCTCTCTCTCTCTCTCTGCGTATGTGTGCGTGTGAGTATCCACAAATCTCTCACCATCCACAAACTCCAACTCGTTGTGCCAGACTTTTTCTCGACATCATTTTAAATCAAAACTCACAACTTTTACAGTTCGTAGAGTTTTTACTGGAGCCAAAATCACATTTTATTGCCTGATATGTCTTTGTTCCAAATGGTCACTTGTGCACTTTATGTGTGTGTGTGTGTGTGTGTGTGTGTGTGTGTGTGTGTCAGAACAAGAGTACAAGCATGATCGGCCTGGAGGGTAAATATAGCCATTTAGAAAGGCTAAAAGTGGTATAGAGGGGGAGGGAGGGACAACAAGTGTATCCAGAACTGTGATGGCGAGCCGTCGATCAGACTTAACAATTCATCACTTCTGTTTTTTGAGAGTCAGGATTTCTATAGATATGACACGGTTTTACCATGTTACTGTATATCTGTGATGGACATCCATAAGGAAGCTTGTTTCCACCTCAGAATAAGAGAAATAATAAAAGCAGTTGCTATTTTATCTCACAATTCTGACCTTCTTTTTGAAATTATTCTATATCTCGCAATTTGAGTGCAAAACCTGCAGTTTCATGTTATCGCCTGACGATTTTAGCTTTTTCCCCTTACAATAAGTGAAGTTTCATAAACTAAATTCGAGAGGAGCACGTGATATGATTGAGCATGACTGGCCCCTCATCTGTAATCAGTAATAATCCAATCAGAGTGATCCTGGTTTACTATAAATGGATTATTTTTTCCCTACTGCTCTATCTTCGTTTTGAAAGAATCCCCCCTTCCACCCCATCTCCTCCTTTTCCTTCCTTTTCCAAGGGGGAGCTCTCGAGACCTACCTGATCTCGGATCTTCTGATATGCTTATTGACCGGGTGGGAACCCTGGGCTCAAATATCTCTGAGCTCAGGGTTCTCTCCCGGGATAGCATGCCACACCTACTATAAATGCTAAGCATATCTAAGTGCGAACTCTTGAAGGGTGTTTTAGTCTCACAATTCAAAGTTTTCAAAATTTTTGCAATTTAAAATTTGTAAACTTAAATTCCCAAATTGCAATGAATTACATCAGTTTAATTATCGAAATTAGATTAATTGTAATAAAAATGCTGCAGTATATCTAAAGATATGACATGGTTTCACAGCTAATTGATAACTTTCGATGATGTTGGATGAAATTAAAATTTTTATGTGATGGACATCCGTATGGAAGCTTGTTTCCACCTCAGAATAAGAGAAATAACAAAAGCAGTCGCTATTTTATCTCACAATTCTGACTTTACTTCTTGGAATGAGTTTATATCTCGCAATTCGAGTTCAAGACCTACAAGTTTATGTTAGCCTCTGACGATTCTAGCTTTTTCCGCTCACAATTAGAACATTTTAGTCTCACAATTTAAAGTTTTCAAAATTGTTGATATTTAAAATTTGTAAACTGCGGAAAGCCAAAATTGCAATGAATTAAATAAGTTTAATTCTCGAAATTAGATGAGAATCAGTAATCTGACATAAAAAGTCGTCATTTGATTTGATTAATTGTTTTATTCATTTTTTATTAATTTGTTTAATCGTAATATGTTTACATTTTTAAACTTTTTATCCTGGGGTAGAAATGGGGTTCCATATGTAATTTTAAAATGAAATGTTGGATGATATTTTAGTATATCTGTGATGGACATCCATATGAAAGCTTGTTTCCACCTCAAAATAAGAGAAATAATAAAAGCAGTCACTATTTTATCTCACAGTTCTGACTTTTCTTCTTAAATCTCGCAATTTGAGTTTCAAACTGGCAATTTCAAGTCAGCGTCTGACGTTTCTAGCTTTTTCCCCCTCACAATTAAGATATTTTAGTTTCACAATTTAAAGTTTTCAGAGTTATGATCTTGTATCTTGCTATTAAAATTTGTACACTTTGGAAGGTTAAAATTGCAATGAACTAAACAAGTTTAATTCTCGAAATTAGATAAAAATCAGAAATCTGACATAAAAAAGTCATCATTTTATTTGATTAATGGTTTTATAATGATTAAACTAAATTATTATTTAATGAATATGTTTATTTATTTTATTTTTACTTTTTAGCAGCCTGCGTCTTCTTTTTTACGATTTAAAATATTTACAAAACTGACCAAAAAATCAACTGTAAAATCTTATTAAATGCAATGAAATATAAGCTCTGCTTCTAGACATTTAATTGTTGAAATTAGACGAGAGTCAGAAACCTGACAAAGTCGTTATTTTATTTTATTAATTTTTTTTTACATTTAAAAATGTTTACATTTTGATTTCTTTATTTATTTTATCCTGTGGCAGAAAT